TCGTAATGAGTTGTTTGATTTGCTGATTAAATAAATAAATAAATAAATGAATTCACAAAAAAATAATAATAATTGTTGCTGTTGAACTGATTCATATTCTTCAGAAAACAAAAATTGAATTAAATTCTGAAAATGAAACTGAAAAACTGACCCAATGGAGTCTTGCCAGACTCGCATTTCCAGTGGTGACTGCACCTCTTGAGGCAGTGTGCAAGGCCAAGACAAGTAGAATTTGTAGTTTGTACTCGCCCCAACGCCTATCAACTCGTTTCCACAACGAACACTAACCGCTGGTAGACATTCATAGACTCGCCTCAAAATAAACTTCTAACAAGATGAAACTGCAACCATAATATTAACCATTCGAATATTAATGTAACCATTCGAAGAGATTCACAAACACTGATTTTGAACAAACATTTAAATAATTATCAATAATTAGTATTGATAATTAATAGTAATAATAATAATAATAATAATAATAATACCAATAAGTAATTAATAATAATAATAAACAATGATATAATATAATATTCAAATCGCAACCGAAACAACGCTCAACCGTTTTTAAAATCGCAAATAGCCATGGAGGAAGATTAAACGATTTATAAGAAATTTTATCAAGTATCAATTATTTATCAATAAGTTTCGCCCTATAAGTTTATGGAAATGCATAGACAGCAGGTCTATGAAAATTTCAGTGGTTTACATGGACAATTGGACAAAACACTTGACGACATTGCATCGCTGATCAAATCTCAAAGATATTCACGCGGATATCGAAGGAGTGGTGTGCATCGAAAGTAGGAGGGTGTCACAGAGAGTCGGTTTACCTTAACGTTTCGAAACGACTTTTATCGGTGTTCTCGATGAAGCGAGCATCCGAATTCGGATGTACCTCATCGAATCGATATTGCGACGGTAAATCCAACTTCATTTTAGCCACCACTCTTTGTTGCGTTTCGTTCATGTAGAACAAATGATAGGAATCGGATTTCCATTCGCGCAGTGTCAGTTGTTTTTGGAAGATGAAAAACTGAAAGGAAATTGCATTGAGAAAATGGAGGAAAATTGAGAATGTATCTTTTTTTTACAAAAAAATAGGAAAAACTGTATTTATGTGTTTGAAAATAGTGGCTAAGATAACGAAATAAGAAGTTGAAATAAGAATGATGATTTTAGTAGAGCATGAAATGGCATCGATTGAACTGTAGTCGCGAAGGAGCGCGAAAGA